AAAGTAAACTTTAAAGCAAAGTTTATCTGGTGCAAAATAAATCCACCTTATACGTGGTGATGTTTGTAGTGTTGAAAAGGTGCAAAGACGTGTCTGTGTATTCGCAAACACTTTCTTCCAGAACTAGCTTCCAGACCCTTAACAGATTAAACGGTCAACTCTAAGGTACATTCTGGAAACCTCGCAAATTGTGCATTTCTAGGATTTAGCAGACCAAAAGATTAGCACATTAAGTATAATTGATTAAGGAAAAAATGACCAAGCTTCCATCTTTAGCAGATTAACCTTCTTGACCAAAATCTTCCGTGAACTTCTTCAGCTTGTCCAGGTCTTGCTCGTTGACCGTGGGCTTGGTGTTGCTCAGAGACCGGAGCATGTCAGCCTGCACAGAGACCACCGAGCAGGTAATGGCAGGACCAGATCAATCTGATCATCAATATTGTAAATTAAAAGCACCGATTTGGTTTCTTACCATGGACACCACAGGCTCCAACAGCTTTTCCCCAGGAACCTCCATCCATGTCATCTCTACGGCGTTGGGATCTCCAGGTGAGCATGGTGTCAGCAGATCGTCAAGCACAACGTCAGGGTTGTTAAATGGGGATCCGCGAACCTTAAAATATGGGATCGGACAAAAGTTTGATGAAAGCGTTTGGATGGACAGCAGATAAAAAAAGAAAACCTGCCGCTCTTAGGGTTACAGACCTATGTGGAAACAGAAGGGAAGCACAGCTGGGTATGGAGACTGTTTGCAAATTACAACAGATTCATGCTGAGCTAACAAAAATAATAATAATATCTGTGAAACAAATCCATGTACACAGACTGAAACTGAGGAGACCAAATGCAAATCCATGCGTGTATGTCACCAACCTGGGAAAATGTATTTCCTTATTTTTTTATTTCCTGACATAGTGCTTGTCTGTATTGACGCAAAGTACACCACTGGTAAAGATGTGTATTAAATTAGCTCATTATTATGTTAAACATCATGTAACACTGAATACTTTAGAAAAAATGTGGACCTTTTTCTATGAGTATGTTTATTCAGTGAGGAAAAAACAACAACATGGTGAAAAAAAGATGTATTAAGCCAGCATAATTATTGGTGCAAGTGCCAATTTCTTAAATAAATGTAGCCAAAACATACTTCCTTGGCAGTTTTTATTAGTTGGTCAAATCTCCACAAACAGCCTCTTCCGTAACATTTTATTGAGCCTAAGAAATGTTAAAGAGAACTCATTTTCTCTAATGGCATAACAGGAAAGTTACTTTGTTTAGCAATTCTTAAGCATGTTTAAAAGGTTTGAATTAATCGGACTCAGATGTACTGATTAAATCAAGATGTTATTTTAACAAATAAATATATTCACATTACTTTTGGATTCTGTTTATTTAGTAATCTTTGCAATACATTGAGCTTTTCACCAACAACAACTCCAGGTAAGTTTGGCACGCAGAAAGCGCCTCATGCCCACTGTTAAGTACGGTTGAGGATCTGTGATGCTGCAGTTCTGTTGCTCTTTCAAAACCTCCAAGAACTTTTAAAGTTCTTATTAGTACCAGGGTTTGGTAAATGTTTTCAACAAGACAACAGACCAAATTAACACAGAAATGGTTCACCAAGCACACAAACAATAATTTTATTTTTTCACAACGTAGTTATCCCCAAAACTGAACGAATGTTTCAAACTCTGGCATATTTCTAGTTTTCCAAAAGAAGTTTTTCAAGCTGATGAAAAAACCTGAAAGACGTTTTCTTACCTTTTTGAAGTGAGTCGCTGACTGGACCCTCCTGACGGGCTGCATGAGGGCGTCCCTGACAATTATGCTGATGTCTGCTCCGGAGTAGCCGTCTGTCTTCTTGCCCAGAGTGACGAAGTCGTCGTCCGTCAGCCCGTTGGGGGTGGAGCCCAGGTGCAGCTTGAACATGAAGGAGCGGGCGTGCTCCTCTGGCAGAGGAATGTAGATCCGCTTCTCAAACCTGGCGCCAGAACAAAAGCTTCAGTAAACCATTTCGGTGTCCGGACGATCTGGACGACAGCCAGCTCAGATAAACCCTCAGAGGTGACAGGAAGGACTCGCGCTAAGCTAACCTTCTCCTGATAGCCGAGTCTAATGTCCAAGGAATATTTGTGGCTCCCAGGACCAGGATTCCATCGTTGTCATTTCCGACGCCTGGCGGGAGAAAAATGTTGCAACGTTGACAAAAATTAAGCAGTTAAAGATGAAGGAAATAAGGATTACTAAGAGAAAAACGAAACATTTCTTTAGTTAGCTCTGACTAACGGCACTCAAGCGTTCTCTCGGTCACCTTGCATCTGAACGAGGAACTCTGTCTTGATCCTGCGAGCGGCCTCACTCTCGTTTTCGCTCCTCGAGCCACAGAGGGAGTCGATCTCGTCTATGAAAATGATCGACGGTTTGTGTTCCCGCGCTAGAGCGAACAGGTTCTTCACCAGTCTGGAAGCAGGAAATTAGAACAGTGGGACCCCCCTCTACACATTCAAATTGTCATCCTGAAAACCAGAACCTCACTTTTCGCTTTCCCCCAGCCACTTGGACACCAGATCAGAGGAGGAGACGGAGAAGAAGGTGGAGTTGTTAGCTTCTGTCGCTACCGCCTTGGCCAGGTAAGACTTCCCTGTTCCCGGAGGACCAAACAGGAGGATTCCCCGCCATGGAGTCCGCTTGCCTACAAAAACACACGCGGTACGGAGTTAGAAACAGGCCATGCGTTTGTGGCTCTTTTTTTCTGTTTACATTTTTGTGCTAATACCTGTGAACAGATGAGGGAACTTGATTGGGAGGATGACAGCTTCTTTCAAGGCTTCCTTGGCTCCTTCCAGGCCTGCAACATCATTCCACTTCACGTTTGGTTTTTCCATTACAATGGCACCTGGAAAAAATGATTTCAGTCACTACATTGAGTTAAAGATTTTCTCAGAATTTAATCATACAATAATTTCATTCACCTGAGAGCTGATTTTTGAATTTCTTTTTCTCCTGATCTTCCTCTTCATCACTTTCACTCCTAAAACATAGCAAAAATCAGGGAGTAACGAGATTCAATTTCAGTTCACAAAGCTTTTCACATAATTATGATTGTTAAGGAAACAATAAATCATCAGGACACAAATTCTATATTAAGCAGACAATTGCAGTAGTTTACTTCCTTTCTTAGTAAAAACATATGAAAAGAAGCGTTTAAATATTCACACCAGCAACAGACACGGCTGAATATCAGTTTATTTCTGATTTGTCGACGGCTCTGACCCTTTGTCCCCGGACTCTTTGACGGGTTTGGCCGGCGGACTCTTCTGCTTCTGCTTCAGGTAAACCTTCAGCTGCTCGGCTCGGTCCAGGTAGTCGGCACACTTTGCCCTGATACTCTGCTTTGCTCGGTCGCCCTGCGCCTCGTCTGCAGCGATAACACACAGAATCACAATAAAAATATATATATAAAATAAATAATCTAATTCTGTGTAGTTGAGTGAGGAGAAGGATGGCGATTCCTTACATTTGATAACATGTAGGAAGTACTGTATGGCATGCTCATAACATCTGAGGGCTTCCTCGTAGTTCTTGGCTTTGTCCTCCTGTGATGCCTTGCTGGCCAGGTCAATAGCTTTCTAAAGACGAACAGGAAGACAGGAAATTGATAAAGACTTTTGGAAACGTTCAATACATGCCCACATAATCAGGGTTGCTAATAAAGAAGTGACGTCACTCGGTGATAAACACGCCCCTGTCCTTTTTTTTAAGCTGTGATGCCAGTGCTGATATTAAAAGGTGAGTGTTTGTTGTTTAAATCACGATAATATTGTGCTCTATTTAATAAGGGGCTTAAAAGTTAAGCCATCATTGGATTTACTAGAACATTTTTCCTTTAAAATGTCCCGACTTCCCAAGACATCACATTCTAAATAATTAAAAACACTAATAATGAGTAAAAAGTGCGCCGTTATGCCGTTATGAACTTTTTTGTGTGTGACAAAACAGCTCAATTTGAAATAACACGAGTTATTTATTAGTTTATCAGTTTGTTTATTAAAGCTGAGCTCGTGTCGGTCTCCAGGTGAGTCGCGACATTTGTTTTTTTTAAAAGTCTGTCACTTACCTGTAAGTTTCCGCCCGCCATTAGCCGCTGAAACCTGTCCTCGCGCGTTCAGACTAAATATAAGAACTCGTGGCTCTTTTCTCCTCTCGTGTTCGGTTACTTAAGAGTCGCATTCAGAGCACTTTTCGTCGACAAACATCCCGAAGGTTTTGTCTCTCTTCCGCATCTGAACTTGGCCTGCTGCTTCCGCGGTGCTCACGTGACCAAACTGTCATCCTTCCCGTTTGTTTTCCCAACGTTTCCGTTCAGTTCCTCGAACCTACCGAGTCACTGCTGACGTCACGATTCATAACTACGTCCATTTTGTAAAGTTGTTAATTAGACGACACCTGGACTTGTTTTCATGCGGTAACATCTCCTTGGACAGAGGAGTCAGTGATGAACCTGTTGATACTAGTTATTAACTGAGTAGATATAATTTTTATAGCTAATTTCACAGATTAAAAAAAAAAAATCACAACATAATAATTTTAAAAATATATATATATAAACGAAATGATACCAATAAATTAAATAATAATTAGCTTAAATAATATAATATTAATGACTTCTTCCCTCCTTTGGTATTAAAAGTTTTGAACTCAGAAGTGAGAGCTAACACTCTTTTTGCTCTCGACTTAGATGGATTCATTTATCCCACAGCACATTCTTAGTTTCCTTTGTCACAGAAAGAACTCCTGGTGTAGCACTGATTTGTTTTGCCATACACTTTTCCTGAACAAAGTATTTTTTATTGCTAACATTAAGTTGTCTGTATTTCCCCCCCCCTTCTTTTCTATATAAAGTACGCCTAGCACCCAGTTCTTCTATCATTGTTGTGAAGTGACAGTTCCACAGGATGATCAATAGATAACTGGATTAGAAACTAGATTATTTATGACAGTATATAAATAAACTAAATCGAAAATTCCCTCATAACAAATGAAATATTCTGGTTACACAAAGTATTATGCCATATTATCGTTTATTGTTGTGTCCTGTTACAAGGCCTCCCATCTTAGAACCAAACGCCGGAGACCGGTAGTGCATTTATAACATTTATTGAAAAGGCCAATAAATAGTGTGCAAAATATCCATAATTCTTCTATTGTTAGAGACAAACAAATAAATGTGTGCTGAGGAAAAGACAGCATAGAGAAGGCTAATAGATGTCTGTTATCTTACATTCAGTTCAGGTTTGTTCACAGCTTTGTCTAAGCCACTATCATTAACCAAGCACCGTGTACAGTACATGTCGCAGTTTTGACATCGTTGACGTCGTTCTTCCCCCTCGCGATGCGCCATCACTCGAGAGTCCGACGTGAAGGAGGAGAGTCCGGGCTTTCATCAACTGTCTCCGTTCACAACGTTCTGCCGTAAAACCCTCAGGATGCGATCGCTCTTTGTGAGATCGGCGGGGAGTTCGTTATGCTGCGAAACAGAACGCAAGGATGATCCAGGCACGTCTTTTAGCTCAGTTTCTCAGCAAAGTTAGGAGAGTTACCTCGTTGGGTAAAGCGGGATCGGCGTTGGCTCCAAGCAGCAGAAGGACAGTCCGAATATTCCCGCCCATGACGGCAGCGTGAAGGACGGTGGAGCCATTCTGGAGACAAGACAAGGAGGGAGCCTGCTCTGTTATCTTTCATTTAGTTGTGAATTGCAGGAAACTTGAAGATTAACCTTCTGCCAGAGCCAGAAGATTCCTAACCTTGAGAAGGCTGAGCGTAGGAGAAAATTTCAGCAGCTCCTCGACAACGCCGTTGTGTCCTTTCAGCGCTGCTTTGAATAACGCCGTCGATCCATCCTTGAAAGTTGAGAGGCAAAAATATACAAATCAGCTCCAGCTGCTTTCAACTACCAAAAAAATTAAATAAAATGCGAAACCAAAATACTGCAGCTTTAAATTTTGTGTGAGATTCTTTGTGAAATGTCAGCAAAAATGCCATTTACCTTCCAAATCAGGTCTAAGCTTTTTTTTAATCTTTTCTTTTTTTAATTCTTCTAATTAGGTAATTAGTTAATGCAAACAAACTCTGAAACAAAGAGAAGACTGTGTATTTTCTGTGACAGCAATATGCACTATTTGAGCACATTGATTGAGACATCAATCATGAAAAACTAAGATCGTATAACATAAAATACCGCTTCCTTGACCTCATGACTTGTCTCAACACAGTCATGGAGACTTTCTCAAGGTAAAGTCATTTTATCCAGCTCTCCAATCCAATCTGAAGTGACTTTCGTACGAGGATTAACGTACCAATCTGTCAGCATCCCGATCTGCTCCGCGTAACAGAAGGACCTTCACCACCTCACTGTGTCCCATCTGTGCTGCCATCCACAAGGGTGCCGTGCCATCCTGGGAGAGAGATGGATGGCCAGAAGGTCGTGGAGAAAAACAAACACTGTTTACACATTCAGGACCACAAAGTTGAAGGATACGCCCGTTTAAGTCATAATCTCCTAGCTACTGGTGGACGTCAGGCTTTCGTTTGCCTGCGTTTCGACTGCATTGTGTGCCGATATGTTCGGCAGACGTGACTAGAAAACTACTGGTTATCTTGATGAAACTGGACACAGTGGAAGATGAGGCGCTCAGATTAGCATTGTTGCAAAATGTGAACGCTGAGTGACAAACGGTAACCTGACAGAACTATACAGATTTATAGGGTAAAACAGGTGACAAGTGCAGGCATGTGAAGTGATTTGTGCCTGTGGGGGGCATTACCTGCCTGGCTTGGTTCACCTTGGCACCAGAAGCCAGCAGCTGACGAATCACAGTCACATGACCCCCCTGGGCAGCTAGGAATAAAGGTGTAGCTCCATCCTACAAAAAAAATAAATAAATAAATAAATAAATAAGAACATCAGAGGCAAAACTAACTGCACCAATAATTAAAATACATTTTTGCACAGTAAGGTTGTTGCTGTTTTTTGGCACATGCTAATCCTGCTCAAGTTGAGTCATGACTGACTCAGCAGTTTGGGGAAAACCAGAGAGACGGGATTCCTGCTGCACCGAGATCAACTAACCATCAGGTTTCTGACACAAAGGGAGACAGAATACAGAACAGATCGGGCGTGACAGTCTGAGGAGAGACAGGCCCGTAGATGCACATCTCACGTTTAGCCTCTCGTGAACGTTGGCTCCGTTCTTCAACAGGACGTCCACCACCGTTGAGTGTCCGTATTGCGAGGCAACGGTGAGAGGTGTGCCACCATCCTGTTGGCGCAACATGAAAAGACGGCATGAAATTTACGTGTAAACTCAAAATGGAGAACGCGAACACGCCCCGATGCATTCTTGGCAAACAGCTGAACTGTCGCCCGGCGTTTTCCACGTGGTTACGTCGAACCTTTGTCCGTAGTTCGGTGGAGGCGCCAAACTCAAACAGCAGCTTCACGACGTCATGGTGTCCCTGCTGCGAGGCGAAGAATAAGGCCGTCGAACCTGTCTGAGGATAAAAATAGACACAGCTGTTTACACGGAGGACTACTGCCCTGCTAGTCAACTCAAGACTTTGATGTTATTTTTACTGAAAGTTGATCACTACAACACATTTTTCTTTTTGCTTCACAAATGATATTAGTTAATATTTTTCATAAAGGACATTAAAGGAGCTCTCCAAAGAACCTGCACATTCTACACGTCTGTCAGAGTTAAGAGTTAGATCTGGAAACTAACCAACAAAAACCTTAACTCACAGGAACAAAAATCACTGTGTCACTCTAGAAATATACGTGTTGTTTTCTCTGATTGTGTGCCGAATAGCTGAATGGAGAATTTCGAAAACAGAAGCGATAGTTTCCTGATGATAATAGTTATTGAGGAAAATTCCTCTATTGTCAACAACTATTGTGAGTGATGTGTCCTGGTGCAGATCTACCTCTCTCTGGTAATTAATGTCTGCTCCTTGCATAATGAGCTCTTTGACGCACTCATAATGGCCGCTGTATGACGCCACCATCAGCGCTGTCGTCCCATACTGCAATAACAAAAATAATAATAAAAAAAAAACAAGAAAACACACAATTAGTCAACCCTGCAGAAGGTTGTATTTATTCATAATCTGGGACCAGGATTAAAAATGGCTGCAATGCACAGATTTTGCTCCTTCAGGATTTTTTTCCCAGGATTTTCTGCTTTGGCTTTTATTTTTGGTTTACACATTTCTTCTTCTTGTCTCAAGTTAAATTCGACCAAATTTTTCTTTTTCCCATTGTGTCAAATAAGATAGCAGTGTGTTCTGGGTGTTTCCACAGGTGTGCCTCCAATTAAGTCAAATATGTCGATTGACCCATCAGAAGTTTTCAAGTCGTGACATCATCAAATGGGCTTTCCCTCGTTGCTTAAAGAGGAAGAGATCATTCTGAATGTAAACTTTTGATTTCGAAGGCATTAATAAATGAATCTTTGAAATATTTGTTCTCCTAATTTTGTAGCTTTCAGAAGTCAGACAATGAAAAAAATTATGTGTATATATCTTTTAATTCTGTATATTCAGGTATTGGGAGTATTTATAAGATTTTTTTTGTCAAATTGTTTATCCTTTGTTTTTCACATTTCTGTTTTTTACTGTCTGCGTTTGTTGTATGCAAATACTTTTTAACCTTGGTGTTTAAGGGTGTTATATAAGTGAGAATGCACTTTTTTTCTTAGAAAGGAAAGACAAACAAAAACAAAAGCTATAAAAAAAAAAAAAACATGCATATGAATCCCCATAGAGATAAGAGAACTGCAATAGCGAGATGTGGATAAATTCACAATATGCAAACTTAAAAAAAAAAAGTAAACATACAAACACAAACACATGCTCCACAAAGGTAACGCTCGATGCTCTCTGTATCTCTGCCACAGATGGGTTACGGTTAAAGCGTGCGGCCGGGGGGGCATGCAGCGTCCGTACACTGTCTCTGCAGTCGGCGTCCACTCGCCCGCTGTTGAGCAGCAGCTGAAGCAGAGCCAGGTTTCCCTTCCTGGCCGCCCAGAACCCGGCGTTAGCCAGGGGTGTTTCCTTCTGCGGGGGTAAATGCACACAACAAGCGCTCACACTGAAACCACCATTATAGCATTACACACTCTGATTGCAGACAGTGTCCACCGTGGTGTGTGACCGCTGCGAGTAGATGCCACACAGGTTGCTGTGTCTGTGTGCAACTGAGAGGTCAGTAACCCATAAAGACAGATCAGTGGTCTCTAGGCAACCCAAAACTTTTATTTTTTGGGTAAGCTAAACTTTTCAACTTAAAATTCAGTTCCTTTCATTTATTTTTTTTGAGGGGCGGAGTACTTTTTTATGGAGTTCCATTTGTTACAAACGCACGTTAAGCAGATGAGCATATTTTTGGCACAAGTAGAATCCCATAAAAGTAGTTTCACTAGGCTATCTTTTTTACTGTTCCTTGACTAACATTTTTTTTATAAAGTATTGCTACTCGTGAGAAGAACTTCTGCTCACTCTACCTAAAGAGTAACCTCACTTGAAGAAGAAATAAAAAATCATGAGTCACACACACACCTTCAGCTCACGCTAAAGCACAACTTCTTGTTCATTCTAAAGTTTTGTTTGCCTGTCATTTTCTACCTGCTCGTTCTTTTATTTGGATTAATTTCTTTCATTTTACTCATTAAAGTTTGGACATAACTTTGCAGTTTTGCCTGTTGATTACGTCATTTTTAAATATTCTAGTCATTATTCAGCGCTCGACTGGCCTTTCAACCAGATATTTTTGGAGTGATTTCTTGGACAGCCACTTTTCCTATGTTGAAGTAGTGCTAATCAGGAGTCTGAATGTCCCTCCACTGTTATGTATGGACAGCCTTATGGTTCTTTTCTGTCCAGTTCTTGTCCTTGACCGTAACACAATTTGTACAGAGTGAGTTTAAAAAAACAATGGAGGATTTGTTTTATTTTTTATTTTTATTTTGGGTTAAAAAAACTACAAGAAGACCAACAAATGTGACAAGAGATCTACTATATCTTCACAAACAACTCTGAACATCCCTGGGAGATGCACCAGTCAAGAACCATTGACTGCCACCACTTAAAGAGATTACTTTAAGAACGTCTGCCTCCCCAACAAGAAGTACAATTAATAAAACGAGGACTAACTTCAAAATGTTGTGTGCCCAACGTCAAAGACTCGTGAGCCTCTGAATGCAGCTATTGTGCCCCAGACATGCTACACTCTTCGACTCGGTCTAATGTAACCGCTATTTCCTTTACACTTAAACGCATCACGTCACTAGACAAATCCCGACTACACAGCTGCCGCGGTGCGTCCTGTGACGATACAGGCCCGTTCCGGGCAGCCTGCCCGGGGCCCAAGATGGATGGAGAAAGCTGCGTTTTACCTTGAAAGACATCCTGCAGACCTCAGGCGTGACTCATGACGCTCTCTGGACGCGCACTCCCTCATTAGACGCGATGCTGCGCGTAATTTGCCTGTTTTGCGGCACCGCTGTTTGGGTGTTGCCCCGTCGCGGACATCATAATGACAGCGCGAGCGAGTCAAGCTGAGCTCAGCCTCTGCAGTGGAGCCCTGCAGGGACGAAGCGCCGCCACCAGAGGGCGCTGCAGAATACAGGTGGGAAAAAAATATATCACGATCAAACTCGAGGTAGAGGTATTTGAACTTTTAAACAGTAATATAATTTTGCACTTTATTTTTGTTATTTTCCTTCTGAATTGCACAATCAAAAGTTCACTCAAATAAGAAGTATTAGTTTAAAAATGGGTACAAAAGCTTTCACAGCCCTTTCACGTGTCACATTTAAAGGACAAACTTTACTGCACTTTATTGGGATTTTATAGAACAAACACAAGATGATCTGTAAGAGTACTCTGACATAGAGTTTTTAAAAAATTGCTTTATAAATGAAAATCTTACGAGTGTTGTGGGGGTCTGCCAATACTTCCTCAAAGCACCTTCAGCTGTGACAGTAAGTTTCCAAGGTTACGTCTCCACCAGCTTTGCAGATCTAGAAACTGAGATCTATGCCCGTTTTACTCTGCATAATATTGAGGGAGACTGGATGGAAATCACCTGCGACCATGAGTTTTCAAGCTATGCCACAGATCCTCTGTCGGATTTAAGTCTGGACTTTGACTAGGCCTTTATTGAGCATGAATATGACCTCACCCATTCCACTGTATAGCTCTGGCTACATGTTTTGGGTTGTCCTTTTGCAAAATCTAACATGTTTCCGTCTCCATGTTAAAGAAAAGAAAGCCATACAGCAGAAAATGGAATGTTGACATGCATACATGTAGTTTGCATGTAGGACCAAATGTTGGGCCAATTTTGTTCTTATTGGGTCAGAACACCTTATTCCACGTGTTCACTTCATCCCACAAGGGGCTTACAAGTCTATCAGTTATTATTATTATTATTATTAATATTCTATTTTATCTTTTTACATTTTCTCCTGCCTGAGCTGAGTTGCTTTGGGCTGTATCTCTGATTAAATCCCTCCCTGCCTGGCAGAATACAAATGTGTGCCAATATGTGTTATTTTCTTTCCACTTCAGAGTCACATAAAATCCCCTCCAAAATACACTGAAACCTACTGTGGTTCTGCAAAAAGTCCAGTGACTGGGAACGCTGTATAAATTGTAAAATTCTTCAAGAATCTAATTAAAAAGGAATCTTTTTTGTTTTTATTATTTTTTTAAAAAAATGCTTTGAGACTGAAATTGAATTAAAATTCTTCAGTTGAAACCTTGATGTTTTCTCCTATAATTGATCTTGTGACTCTTCCCGGTTCCACGTGACAATTAAAGAGTTTCGTAAATAATCAAGTCTACAAAAAGTAAAGCCCAGACTGTGATCTCAGTGAAACGCTGCTCACATAAATGCACCAGAATCAACTCTGTGCTCATTCAAATGCAGCCGTTTGCAGCTGATGTCATTTCAGTGCAAAACTTTAATCAGATTAGACACATTGTCCCTTTTTCGCCTGTGCTGGGTGTTGTGCTCGGCCACAAACATGTATTTGAGGGATTAACAATAGTGCAGCTTTAGCTGTTTCCAGGTGATAACTGCAGAGGGTTTGGAGGACAACATATTTTTGTTGACTAATGCCACTGCAGGCTGCTGGCGCAGCCGTTCATTTAAGGATAGAGTAAAAGTAGAGCAGGAACATATAGTTTACCAGAAAGCTTTATATAGCAGGCTGGCAGCTGGAGTCACTATGCTCTTGGAGTTGGTGTTGCAACATGGGAACAAAACAGACTCACCTGTGTGCAGGTAGGCAGCCCGGGATCCTGTGTTTTATTTTATTTGTGAAACCAACTGAATGTGGCGCCGGTGTGATAGGAGTGGGCGTTAATTGTATTGTTTCTCATTTATCTTGATAAATATCTTCTTATAAGAATTGTGATTTATAGTCGCTGTGATAAATTCCAATTAATGATGTATTAAAACTCTCAAAAACTCTGTACTGTCAGGATTGTTAATTTTACTATTTTCTGCACTGTTTGTTAAACTGCAGTATTAATAAATATGAATTAATTTAAATATATTGTTAAATTCACAGTTTAGTGGTGAATTTAACAACTCACTTCTTTTTCTGAGTTGTGCACGTAAGAAACATACAAACAGGAATGTTTCTCAAGAGCATTCTTTGCGTTTGTTGGGTTGTGATTGCTGTGTCATGGTGATACTGTACCTAAAATAAAGCAGCAAATAGTCATTGTCATTTTTATCATTATCGTGATACGACCACAAAATATCGTGATCAAATTGCTTCGTGCTTTTAAAACTGAAGAGGGAGAATAATGTAGTTCTGAAAATGAGGGCTCAGGAGAAGAGACAGAATAGGTCACAGTGTTGTTTTGATCCCGGTGTTTGGGTCAGTGAACTCCTGCCACCTTCTTTACAATACAATGCAAAAAAAAAATCTCAATTCAACGAGAGGTTGTGGCTCTTTGTCGTCTTTCCTTCCAGCTGGGCTGGGGAGCTTTCTGCTGAGGGCGGCCCTGCTCTCCGTCCTGCTGTGCAGCCCGCAGTCGGTGCTGTCGGAGTCGGATGAGGTGGTCCTGACTGAGTGGGAGATCTGGAAAAGCAGCCATGGCATAAGCTACGACGAATCAGTGAGAGCGAACAGATGGCTAGAACACATCAACACAATCAAGAGTACAAGTTTTTCTTTTTATTCTTTGATTTGTTATTCTTTGATTTGTTATTCAGGACGACCTGCGGCGGAGGGCCATCTGGGAGGAGAACAAGCGCAAGATTGAAGACCACAACCAAGGTTTTCTCATGGGGAAGATGTCCTTTTCTCTGGCCATGAATAAATATGGAGACCTTGTAAGAAGTGCTGCTTTGCTCTCACGTTTGTTTATGACAGAAACACAGAGAAATAAAATAAAATTGCATGTAGAAGTTTTGTAGTCTGTCTCCTTGCACAAGACTGACCTTGTTTTAGTTTATCTAACGGAGATAAAATGCTGTTTTAAGTTGACCTTAGACATCTTCAGTCCAGCAAGAGACCATTGTTAAGTCTACTGCTGCTTTCTCAGCCAAACAACTGCATCAAGCAACATCATGTACACAAACTTTGCTTAGCCGAGAAACCAAACTTAATTCCTTCACTTGTCTACAAACTCACTGCAATATAACATCTGTTCACTGCAGGTAGCTGAGCTCACTGCTGAATAAAAACTTCACAGAACCTGAATTGCGTCCTTTTTCAACTTGTAGACAAGGCAGGAATACCAAAATCTGCAGGGAGCCATGATCAACGCCCAGTTTGTGCCGAGAGGGAGGGAGGTTTCAGCTCGAAGACTGCGCTACAACGCTAAGAAACTAGACGCTGCGGTTGTTGACTACAGGAGCATGGGCTATGTCACTGAGGTGAAAGACCAGGTAAGACCACACCTCTGCAGTCAATTCACCATGTCCTATCCAGACTAAGGATACAGTCATATAAAGTCCAGTTCATTCGGGGAGGTGTGAATGCGCAATCGAACTCTGACATAACCAAAAAAGCGAATTCTGGTTCGCCTAAAAACCTAAAACCTAATTGAACTCTGGCACGGTTCAAAAGCATATGTGGATGTGGACCGTTCCAAAAGCAGGAAGTGAACTAAAGCACAGGGCATTCTGGGTAAGTGCTAGATGGAGAAATGGCTGGTGGTCTTTTACCAAAGACAAAATAGAAATCCTACAACTGCTAAAATCTGATACTATTCCATTTATGTTTCACATTTTGCAAAGTTTTTTGTGTCGTTTCCTTTAGTAGTTCTTGGTGCAGCGCCCCCACAGGTGAAAAGGTGAACAGGTTTTTCAAATACTTTGACAAAGTGCAGTGTGAAAGCGAACCGCACCGGCTGAAAATGTAACAAATTCAGAAATTTTGGTCCCAGGTCAAACGAGTCTGCCGGACTGTCAGGTGAGAAAACATCTGATGGTCCGACGTTCTTTCATAAGGAGAGTCACAATCTGTGGTTTGTCTTCTCAGGGCTACTGCGGCTCGTGCTGGGCCTTCAGCACAACAGGGGCAATAGAAGGACAACTGTACAAGAAATCGGGTCAGCTGGTGTCTTTGAGCGAGCAGAACCTGGTGGACTGCTCCAAATCGTACGGCACCTACGGGTGCAGTGGCGCCTGGATGGCCAACGCCTACGACTACGTGATCAGCAACGGTCTGCAGGCGACAGACACCTATCCATACACCTCTGTGGTGAGGCCCAGTCTGAAGATCTGTCGGCTCAAACTGTGAACAGTTCGTCATCCCGGGCCGTTCGTTTCTCTCCACAGGACTCACAGCCCTGCTTCTACGACAGCAGGCTTGCAGTGGCTCATATCAGAGACTACAGGTTCATTCCCAAAGGAGACGAGCAGGCGCTGGCCGACGCCGTGGCAACCATCGGGCCAATTACAGTAGCTGTGGATGCTGATCACGCAAGCTTCCTCTTTTACAGCTCAGGTTACTATCCGCTCTGTTTACATATGAATTAGTGGTTATAAAATTTGTTAGCTGATTTGATGAAACGCATGTCTGTCCTGGAAATTTAAGCAGCATCACTATCTTTCTTGCATCAGTTTTCAGCCAAAGCAGTTGGCAGATAGACCAACTTCTATAAACCCCCAAGGGGCTTTGCACCTGTCTAACACCAGCTGCAGCAGAATATAAACAGACTGCAGACACAGAGACAGATACTTTTCCTCCTGTGTCAGTTTAGAGCAAAATTTAATTCCAACAGCAAAGTTACTTTTTTGTGCTGCCTCTTATTTGTGAGTTTTAAACAAGCAACTGATTGTAAGCTATATGAGCTTGATTTAGAAATTAAGTGATTCCAGTTCAAAATCAACATGTAGATGTTGTTTTACCATGTTTTTTTTTCTTTTTTGCATGTGAAGCTCTGTTTATTTATGAAAATTTTTGCACATTTAGAGAGCAGTGTTTTCAAGAAATAGCAAAAGGTCAGGTTTGTTTTTGTTGCTGCAATCTAGTGTCACATTCCAGGCTGGAAATGGCGAGAAAACAATGAACAGACACATTTATAAATAAATTAGTACACCATCAGAAGTCATTTTATTTCAGTAATTCAGTTGCAATAACCAAAACATGTAGGAATTTATAGCATGTGGGGCAGTATGTTGTGTTTGTTTCTGTTAATTATGATTATGAAAATCTAAAATTCAGTTTATCAAGCTATTAATACGTTACATAAGACCAAGAGCAAAACACGCTTGGATGCAGAAACATTAGGGGAGTCACTTTCACCTGTTATGAGGAGGAAGAACAAAAAAAGGCCATTGTTTAAAAAAAGCTAAGTCCTGTATTTCAGCACATTAATAGATAGTTATTTGGAAGGAAAAAGTGTGAACAAAGGTTTGGTTTCATCTTAGTTGAAAGCCTTCATTAAAATGATCCGAGATAAATGCTTATGATATTTTACTGTGTGTAATGAATCTATACATTGTACTGTTCATGACGATTCAAAATTCAAACAGCAAAGTAGAAAAGGCAGGGAGTTTTTACATAAAGTTTCACCTTTGAATTTCTCTACAGGAATTTACAATGAGCCCGCCTGTAACTCCAACCACCTGAGCCACGCAGTGCTGCTGGTCGGCTACGGGTCGGAGGGAGGACAGGACTACTGGATCATCAAGAACAGGTATTTATGACACTTTTTATGTCAATCAAAATGCTCCAGGGTTTCCCAAGTGTATTATAAGCCTGGCGGGCCACCAGGCTTTACTTGTGCCCCCACCAGGATTAGCATTGCTTATTTATTCAAGCCTTTTTAAAATGTTTGCATTTTTAAGACTTTATAATTGTTGTCCAGGTATTAATCTTCCAATAACACATTATTATTAAGGGATATTTTCAAATTTCCTGTCGACTTTAAACCCTGACTCAAAAACATAATGGGGTGCAGGATGAATGACTGACCAAGTGCCCAACCACCAGGCTTAGCATGTTTTCTGGGGGAAAACTTTGTGTCATTTAAAAAAAACAAAAAAAGGTATGCCTTTATGTATTTTCTTCTCTTTTTTTCCTAGTTGGGGAACTGGCTGGGGTGAAGGCGGATACATGCGGATGGCCCGGAACGGCGGCAATACTTGTGGCATTGCAAGCTACTCTTTGTACCCAATTTTATGATTTCAAGAACAGACCATTCTAAACTATAAGCAACACTTTTTTTTTTTTTTTTGTATTCTTAAAAAACATTTCTTGTGAACCTGTCTGACATCAGGCTCTCATAGGGAATGCATTACCTCTCTCAGGGACGGAGAAGAAATTATTCTTCGGGTGTAGATTCTCAACTATTCAGACTTTTCTGTTTGTACAACTTGTTGAAAAAAATTCAAACTGAAAACTTAAATAAAAGTTGGATATTTAACCTTGGAAAGAGTTGAGAATGTTCATTAAAGTCATTTTATGCACATGGGGGAAATGCAAGCCCCTAACATCTGTCTCTTGTTTTCATCGGGAAAATGTCCAACCACCATTAATTATCAGGTCTGATGAATGCAGCGACAACCTTGGTGGACAAACTGAGTTTTGGCACATTTTGAGCCAGTGAGGTAAACTATGAATCCAGCAGATGCTTGTTTTTCCTCCGTAGTTTAAACAACAAATCCTCCCCTTCTCCCTCATCCACAAGCTGTTTGAATATGAGAGTTAATGTCTGAAGAATCCCTGAAAAAGCATCAAAGCTTTTCAGAGATATAACAGATATTGAACATAGTTGCCAATTTTAACTTCTATAAAGCCCCGGAAACATTTACAAACTCCACAAAACACTAACGTCTGATGTGCAATTTAATTAGCATGTTAGCTCACTAGCTACTTTTTCTGTTCCAGCTTGGTTTAAATTTGCTTTAATACAAATAATGCATTTTTATAAATGTCTTTGCATGTTGAAGAAGATACTTTATCAGAGATATCTTAGCCAATGTTTACAAATTTTACTTGAATATAGTCTCATGATTGCAACATTTTTGTTCTGCAAGCACGGCTCATTTGAGGGATGACGCCATTTTAGTAGGACCAAATTTAATGACTAAAACTGAGTTCACGACTGGCACATACAACAAAAGGCTAAAATTGCTAAATGTTTTAACTTCACATCTGTAGCTTTTTATTTTAAAAAACAAACAAACAAACAAACAAAAAAAAAAACGCTTCCAGGGTTTTGGTTTTTACTAATTTATATTCAATATTTTCCCACCTGGCAAAGAATCGGTTCCCTTCATACACTTCGTTCATTATTTTCCGCTGCTTTCTTGAACAAATTCATGCCTGCAAGTCCAACCACACCTCGGTGAACTTTGAACCTGAACCTATTTTCCAAGGTTCACCTTCCGCGGTGAGTACCCTGCAGTATAGAGACACATTGCTCTTAAGAGGAAGGATTTCTCCACAGCTCGCCTAATGAGAAGAAGCTGAAAGACAAATAATGAATCAGAAAGCGTCTTTGCTTTGGTTTGCCCTGTGGTTGTTTCTCTCTTTTGCTCCAGTTTGCCTTCCTGCTCAGAACAACTCAAAAGGCTGGCACGACAGAGACACTCAGAGGCTCTGGAATGAACGTGGCACCAAAAAGCTCTGTGATCCCTCCGTCAGCGACCAGACGGCAGGTGCTGTCCCAGAGGTAAATCAGCAAATTTGGAGGTTTTGTCTGGAAGTGTGATGCTTGCTCAGGTGATTGGGATTTTATTTTATTTTTTTCATAATCTGAATTGAAAAGACGAGATTTGCGTTGCATTTTTAGAGATTGTAACTAGTATATTTTTGTGCCAAGCAGTGAATGGATACAATCCTGTAGCTGTTACACCAAATAAATAAATAAATAAATAAGAAATCTCCATCCATGGCATATTTAGATTTACAATGATTTATTTTTAATAGAGAGACTGTCTCTGGTAGGAAATAAGTCAGATATGTCTCAAAGGAAGGCAAAGAACAAACCGTATATTACCCATCTATTCACATTTTATGGAACGGTGACACGCCTAAGAATAATGGAAAAATTGAGCACTTCATATAACTTTCTTCACCAGGTCATGCAGCTTTGTTTTCTTTTGCATGAAAGTGCACCCCTGGCTTCTACAGAGAACAGACAGGACCAAGTAAGGGACGCTGTGTGCCATGCCGCTGCAACGGACTCTCTGATTTGTGCGAAGCACAAACAGGGAACTGCATGGTTGGTGCTTCAACACACATCAGCTGAAACCAGATATACATACAGTTTAAAAAAGCTGTCATCCATGATAATCTCTCACCAAAAAAAAGTCTTAAATTTAGTGAATGGAAGTCATTTTGTGTAATTCGAACTAAGCTAGAACAACAACAACAAAAAGGGTTTGGTCTGTAGCTTCAGACAGTGAGAATTTTTTTTTTGTTTTTATCTGTTGTATGCAGATTTCTGGTTTCAACCGCATGCTCACAAGCGAGGTGCAAAATGCTCCCAAGTTTGGTTTTGTCTTCACTTCTGTGGGAAAAGTGTGTTTTGTCTGTGTCACCTCCAGAACTGCCGGTTTGACGCCGCGGGGGATCGGTGTGAGCGGTGCAGGGAGGGCTTCTACGGACACGCAGTCAACAGGACCTGCCGGGCCTGTCCCTCCACACGCAACAAGTCAGCATCTAATAACCTACGTTACAGTTACAGTGGCTCTACAGAGGGAACACACACACACACACGCACACACACACACACACCCACACACACGCACACACACACACACACACACGCACGCACACACACACACGCACACGCACACACACACACGCACGCACCCCCCCCCCCCCCACACACACACACACACGCACACACACACACACACACATGCACACACCTGTTAACATCTGAAGTTGTGACATGATAAATGAGACAATCGCAAAGAACACTTTCCACCGTTGATGTTACAAAGTTATTCAACTCAAACAAATCTGTAAGAAAGAAAACTACAGCAGACAAAACAACAACAACAAATCTCTACAATGACGCCCCTAATGAAGCAGCTTTTGATTCAGCATTCATGGTTAATCCGATTAAAATGGAATAAAGTTCAGATGTCATAGTAGGATTTTTTTGCCGTTTTCTCAGATGCATTTTTTTTGTCTTCTTTTTTTGCTAAAGCCACGGTTTGCCGAGAGCTCAAATCAATCTTATTGTGGAATTCAAGAGTTAGGAGAGTTTTTCAAAAACAGTCCTTTGTCTTTATATAAATCCTTTGGTAGAGGACATATGGGAGAACAATGACAGCATGAAAAATGAATTGATCTCCAATATAATGAGAATACAAGAGGGAAGGTGCAGGGACACTGAAGATTGTAAGACAAAAGTCTGGAACTTTTGACTTAATGTCTCAAACGATTTTGAGATATCCAATGAAATTGTGCAAACATTTTTGGGTCATTTTCAAAAGGTATTTTGATCTCCACCGAAATGAACACCATAACCACACTGAAGCAGGGTGGTGGCAGCATCATTTTCTGTGGTCACTTGACTTAAGATGGAGGTACAAGTCAGATGTTTTGTTGTTTTTTTTCAAAATCCAACAAAACAAAAATTTCACGAAGGTTTTATGATTCCCTGACCGGAGTTCAGACGTCAGTCTAACATAAAGTCAGTGGGGTCGCCTGAAGAAGGCAACCCCTTGAACAACCCCGTGAACAAGAATCTGACAGATTCAGACAACTTTCCCAAGGAATCGCTGGAAAACGTTGTCAGGTCAAACCGTGTGACGCCTTTTAAGACTGCGAATACCAGAGGAGTCGCGTTGTAAACGATCGATGTCACAGCAAAATTGGCAACAGTTTTTGTTGATCTGTTATAAGTTCTAGTTTCACATATTTTTGTAACATATATTTTGAATATATGTTTGTTCTTTTCCCCTGCAGTTTTGCAGTAGCCTGCCTCGACGTCAGCCCGGGAGTTGTTGAATGTTTGTGTAAAAGAGGCTACAGAGGAGCTCGCTGCGAGAGGCGAGGCACAAACTCAGCATTTACATATAAACAATAATCATCTGAACTTTATCATCTTACTCTATATGCGTCTTCACGTTGAAGGTGTGCATCTGGCTACTATGGTAATCCCATGGTGCTTGGAGACGTCTGCAAACCCTGCAACTGCACAGACAGCAGCTTAAGCGTCTGTGACTCTCTGACTGGAGGTGAGTGGGGAAAAAGTTTAGCTATAAAAATCAGATTTAAAGTAACAATATGAAATCTAAAGATGTAACCAGAGCCAGCACGTTTTACACATTGACAACCCTAGAAAAATTGTGTAAACTACCCTTTGAATACTGTTGACATGGACAGACCTTGACTCACTGGTGTCCTGACAGGCTCAGGTGTGTCTCTGTTTTAACAACATGGCATCAAGGCCGCTGCTGACACACCAGGAGAATTGAAATAAAAATCACTTGATAAAATGTGTAAAGAGAGGACATGTGGCTGCTGTAATACCTTACATATAAACCACTTGTGACTCTTGTCGTTCAGGATTTCATCGTTAGGTGTTTGAGGCGCCACCAAGGTCTTTATTCAACAGTCCTTTCAGGCTCGGTGGTGCTTTCAGTGTCAGATTAAGTGGTCCTGATGTGATGCAAGCCACTGTAATGTCTCATCCCTCTGACAGAGTGCGCCGCGGGGGCCAACAGCAGCGGTGATGATCCCTGCCACAGTAAGTTATCGCTGAAAGCTCATTTTACAGTTTTGACATGGAGCTTCGACATTAAAGCCCTTGTTTTGTGACAAGAAAGTGACGGCTGCGCTCGCGCTCTGCTGATGGACTTGGAGAAAGTGGACGGCGGACTGGTTCTGCTGCGTCAGCTGGTGCTGAACATTACCACCGGCCTGAGCCTGCTGGAGGCCGACGCCTCGCAAACAAAGGTACGGGCTCATTCAGTCCTCCCTTTAAAAACATTTCATACAGGAGTTTATACCATATCCCCCTCTGCTGCAATGTTCTCCATGAAACTGGGCGCTTCCATCTCCATCATCACCAGCTTCATCGGGTCGATGGAGACAGCGGCGCTGTGAGGTGGCTGGAGCCAGACGTGGAGCAGCTGGAGGCAGACATCGATCTGGTCGGAAATGACCTGACTCGCCAAGACAGCGAGGTACCAGTGGAGACATTTGGCGATCAGAACAGGAACATGTGCCAAATGTAGTGGATTTTATTTGCCATTAACCCACTGGAGGTCTATTGCAGTGGAGGACATACAGTGCACAGCCACGCACTGTTGAGGGTTTACTGATGTGCTTGTGCTGGCAAAGATGTTTAATGTGTGCTGGAGAGAGAAATACTTGCATGTATTTGTATTTGCACCCTGCAAGTAATTTTGGTCCAGCTTCTAGTGAAAACATGGCACACTTGAAGTAAGATGAACTAACTTACAAGTAACATTTCAGCAAGACATAGGAGTTTAAGTCAATAACTCCTTAATCTGGAAGAAGCACTCATTCCACTGGCACATTATTTCACTTCTAAGATGGGAAAATGTTTTAATGCATTAGCAGTTATCTACCAGTCAACTGCTAATTTTAAAGCTACTGCATCTTGTTGAAAAGAAGTTAAAGTGAAGTGAGATATTTGTGTGAGAGACGAGACCAAAATTATTTGGTAAGATTTTGTGTTTTTGGAGAACACAGGTAACATGTGACACCTCCGTCACTTGTTGCATGTTTGCATAGCGTTTAATGCTTATTTCCAAGACAGCTGAACACTTTTTTATATTTGCAAGCAACACTCGGTAGTTTATTTTTGAACATCTTAACTTGGTCATCAATTTAACAATTTTCTTCTCTCTCTCTGACGGTCAGAGAAGTCAGATGATGGAGGAAGCTGAGCGAATCATGGCGGAAATTAAAGGCAGACGTTGCAGACGGGCTGGAGCAGACGGCGAGCAGGAAGGGGCCCGCATGTGTGAGAGATCTTTATCTGCTCATTGGTTGCTTTTTAAGGATGGGGCAGCCAAACAGGAGCTCTGTGCTGCATCAGATTATTGCTGTGCAGGCTGAATGCAAACAAGTTTATCCAATCTGCCCTGGAGCCATAAGTATTCTCAATGTGGAAGCATAATCTTATGATCAATCTGAGGCTTGTGCTGAACAGTAACACAGGTGTGTGGTAAATAATCATTTCAGCATTCAGAAGAAAAGTCAGAGCTAAAGTTACTTATTTACCAACTCTGTCCAGTCGGTAGGGATGAAACAACACATCCAGTCCGTAACAAACATCGCAGAATAATTTAGCCCACATTTGACTAGTGTGGACAACATGGCTCCTCTGTTTGCTGATCCCAAAGCCAATAACAATACTGATGGTCGAATATTGATTGTCATCGTTTGTGTTAAATCATAAAGGATTAAAAAAGTGTTTTAAAGAATCTCTGTCAGGTGTAAATTTGTCCAGCTTAGGTTTGATAAGTTGAAATATTTTCAAGAAAATTGAATACAACCCAGATTAATTAAAGAAACAAACAGTCGCAGCTTTGCAGCTGCTATTTTCACTGTGCTTACTAACCATTTGTATCTCATTTGCATTTGACAACTTTTACTTTCTCACATTAACCTAAAATGCTTCTGGATAAATGAGTTACAACTGATGATTACCTCTTAAATGACTTTGTAACTAAATTTTGTTTTCCAACTTTATAAGAAAAAAAACAAAAAACTTTTTTTTTGTTTTTTTATAACAACAGAGTAACTTAAGAACTGTTTCCTGTCTCACTTGAAAAATAATAGCCATTACAGATACAAGATTTATGCTTCATGCACACACCATATTACATTAATTCACACTCATGTCGCCGGGTTAAAGTGATACCGACAGCAGCAGAAAGACTCTTTGCCAGTCGGACTTCACTTTGACTCTAAATATTAAGGTGTTTTATTGAATTCAGGTTGGATAATTTGCTCACTCTGCTTGTTTATTGCCCCCTATTATATGTTGCTATATTGAAAGTAGGCAACAGTAAGTTAACGTAACATTTTTTGTCATCTTGTCAGTGCTGGAGAACATCAGGGCCGACATGAGCGACCTCTCGCAAACCGTCCAGGACGTTCTGAAGCGGACTGCAGACGTCCTGACGGCCGCAAACGTTTCTGTGGCGGCAGCGGCAGAGCAGCTGTCCTCTGTTCAGGAGACAGTAGAGAAAACACACAGGCTTAACCTTGAAGGCGCCGCCGGTCTAGAAAATCTGCAGGTAATCGGCAGGTAGGGGTTGTACACCCCTGACGCGCAGTCTTATAGATTTACTGTTGCAATTTTCTGCACTTTTATTTTACAGACTGTTCTGGCTGCGCTGCGGAGAGAACGAACCACGGTGCCTCTCGCGATGGAGCGGCTTTACGATACGATGAAGAAAACTAAAGACGCCCTTTTGGTGTTTCAGAAAATGAAAAATGTAAGAACACTCCCCTTTCACCGGGGCACAACTGAAAGGACATATTTTCAGGTATTTATGAAACTTAGCTCGTGTTGCGTTCAGGAAGAGGAGGATCTTGCTGCTCAGGTGGACGGAGGTGAACTGGGGCTTTTTGGAAAACTAAATGCCACCTGGAAGTGTGTGACCCGGACGGACGCCGTGACCCGGGCTGAGGGGCACGCAGAGGAGCTGAGTGCTGCGGCGTCTCAGTTAGAACAGTATGTGAGCATCGTGTGGGATTGAAAGACACAAATTAAATGTTCAGAGACCCGAGAGTATTTAACACAATGTGGAGGAAAGTGACAAAGTGGAATAGTGGGAAATTGTTTCCCTAACAATTCAATCCTCAGTTTATTTTTTACTTTTAATTGCAATAAGTTTTGTAAAATTCTGTTCTGTTTTCACTTTCCAATATATCGGCACTGACACTGGTATCATTTCTAACATCGGTCCGCTAAATAAACTGGACTGATGTTAACAGTCAATATTTATTTCCATCTTGTTGCCATTTAAATGTACGCATAAGCAGCTCTGGAGAAAAAAAAAGCGTCTGTACAGAAAATGAGAAATGGTCAAAATAACGAAAAAGAGGCAGCACTTTATGACCGCAAATAATGCAAAGAAAACAAGTTCATATTGATTTAGAAACAACAATACTGATGTTTTAACTCTGGAAGAGTTCAGAAATCAATATTTGGTGGAATAACCAGGAGGTTTTCAATGGGGTTCAGTGCAGAGGTCTATTTTTTTCCCTAGAGCTGTATAATATGTACACAATATTGCTACATATTGGTTATTGGCCATAAAAGCATTGTTGATATCAGATATCAATATCAGTGCATTCCTACTTCTCAAATATGCGCCACTTTCTGTTGGTTTATGACATAAAACCCCATTAAAAAACATTAAATTTATGGTTTTAGTGTGGTCAAATGTGTGGAAAGGGGGGCTATGGATACTTTTAGAATACACTGAACAAAATGATATCTTTAATATTCTTGCAGAGTGCTTCAAAATGCGGCCAGCAGCAGAGAGCTGCTCAGGATTTTTGAAGCTGATGAGAGCGTCGCCTGGCTCTCGCAGGCAGCAAATCAGGCTCTGAGGGTAACTGAAGCACCATCAGTAACCCTTGATGAGTGTCTGAATGTTCATCAGCAGCATTAATGCCATCCTGAAATGATAAATTAGGACTTGGAGGAGGGAGGTCTGATCATCAGCGCCGAGGGGATGGAGGACCTTTCAGCTGATTTACACGCAGAAGCCAACCACACTCGGCGGCGCTTCAAAAGTCTCTGGGGAAAAAACTCACAAAAAAAGCCTCATCCGCCGCACGTGGAGTTTATCGTCTCTGTTTGAATGTGCAGAAACTCCAATCTCTCCCGTTTCTTCTACACAGCGGTTTCACGTGCGCTGAACGCTCAGAGGGACAGCGTGAAAAAGCAGGAGAAAAAGGCAGAAATGTTGAAAGCGAGCGTCTTAAACCTTGGTGGCAGCATCAAGCAGATTGAAAGAGGTCCATGGAGCCTACAAAACATAAGAGTACACATGTTTTATGGATTATTTAGGATTACAACACCGTCTCTTTTTATTTTTTTTCTGTCAGGTGATACCAAAGACCTTATGGAGTTTGTGAGAATAACAACCTCTGCTGTAAATGCTAAAGTCAGCAAAGTAAAGGAGCGCCTCGGTAACATCAGCCTGGAAGTGAGACGAATCCACTCAGCTCGCTTCAGTGGAAACTTCCTGACTGATGCCAACCGGGCCGGTACGCATCACAATTTAGGTGTTTGATTAAAAGCTGGAACAAATATGTTTGTAGTCAAACAAGTTGATGTAAATGCTGTTTTGCTTTTGGGTGTGTCAGTGAAAAGGTTGAATGGAGTACTGCCTGTTTTGGAAGACAAGCTGGAACAAATTGAGGCTCTGGGTGAAGACACGTCTCCGTCCGCTGAGGTAACAGAGAGCATACAGAGGATCAAGGACATCATCGATGAGGCAAGAAGCTTTGTAAATAGGGTAAGTGTTGTTGTTTTCTCTTTCTTATCAAGGAGGGCTTTTATTTAAGCTCCTGAAAAGAATAGATGCTCGTCACTCTCAGTAAAAGTTTCTATTGGGACTTACTGAGAATCAAAAATGTTCAAAAGCAAAACCTGTATTAGCAATACTGACACAAGAAATCAGAAAATTCAGCCACTGCCAGTGGCCTCCAGGCCAGCAGGGGGCCCCCAATCTGCACCAAGAGTGCAGATTGCAAAAGCACCCACATGTTGTTACCTTGCACATTTGAAAGAGTTTGAAATTAATGTACACAAGATTTAAAAGAACTGACAAATATATGTCCTGTAATAAAACAAAGGGAAATCTTGTGGTTTGCTAGGTATTCTAGCAACCTCTAATTGGCTTCATATGTCCCTTATCATTACAAACACCAAGACTTTAAGGAGTTTTAAAGTGTAAATATTTTAAAAATGTTATAAAGAGGTATTGCTTTTAACAGCAGGGGATAACTCTCATGATATTGATATTTTGTCTTAAATACAGTATAGTGGCTTCCAGAGACTGAACCGACTTCTCAAATACGCTGTCGCAGATTTTTTAAACTTTTAAACTGCACTTTTTTTTGTTTTTCACGCAGAAGCTGATAATTATTTACACATGACATGGAGGGAGGAGGCGGTGCATCGTTATCGTTCTTTCTCTGTGAATGAAAACAAAACATTTAAAGCATTTCCAATCCGAATCCAGCAGTATCCCCAGGCCTGTCTGACGTTTCTGATGTTGACTTCCGAGTATTTCACACAAGATGACTGGTGTGAAATACCAATACCTTACCCGCCACACCACCTACAGCTAATGTGATGGCTTTATAAAGGTTCATGAAATTGCCTTTCCAAGAACCACCGCAATGTTTTGGGGTTTTTTTTAAACTGTAGTTTTAAGAAATTTTAATCTGGATCACCTGATCTGGATCTACACTAAATGAGGGGGGGATATATTAACCAGTGAAAAGATACCAGAGGTAATAGATACACTAAAGCTTAAAAGATGTAAGTTTTGTTAACTGTTGCCAAAAAAAATATATATATTATTTTCATTTTCATTTCGACATCAACCTTTTCTTCTCCCTCAAAAATTCGTAAAGCAGGGTTAGTTTCCTGACCCCAGTCCTGATTCAGATGATTTTACTCAAGAGTCGTAGCCGCACAGTCCTGTGTGAAAAGCTTTTCGGTCGAGACTTGAAAAGTTGTTTGGATCTTTTCGCAGCTGCCTCTTGCCACCACCTTTAGTGGAAAGAGCCACATTGAGCTCCACCCTCCGAGAAACCTGGAGGACATAAAAGCATTCACAGCCGTTGATCTGCTGCTCAATCTCCACCACGGAGAGCCGATGGCAGCGAGGGGGCGAAGGCGGCACAAACACAGAGATGAAAACAGCCACTTCGTTCTCTATCTGGGTACCAGAGATGTGAGTTCTCACTCTTAAAGCACCAAGAAAACAAATGCCTTTAACAAACAAGTTCTGCAGACGTTATCTGTACGTGTGTATTTATTTATGCTTCTGTTGATGCCCAGACCTTTGGAGACTACTTCGCCATGGTCATCAGAGACACAAAGTTGATTTGTCTTTATAAGTTGGGTGGAGTTGCTCATGAGATGGAAACCAGTCAAATATCAACGGGCAACGTAAACTCCTCTTGTTTTGACAGGATCGTCTTCCAAAGGTAAAAGACAGAAGCTTCTCATACACGTAAAGCGAATGTGGATTGATTGGTGGCCAAGGCTGCTTTTATTTTCCAGGGTTTACCAAGACGCTACAGTCGGCGTCACAAAAAACTTCACATCACAGAAACCCGTCAGCCTCCCTCCCAAACAGAACCTGCCCGACACGACGAGCAGCATCATGAACCTCGACTCACAGCGCGCTGTTTTCTACGTGGGAGGCTATCCCAAGGAGTTCAACGTGAGAAGTTTTTGTGTTTTTTTTTGCACTTTTTTTTCCCATACTTTTAGCTCTCACAACAGTATTCACAGGAAATGACTTCCTATGAGACAAAACGTGCCCCTCATATGTACCAATTTACGTTAAGATGCAGAGCATACATGACTTTAGTCTCTTAAAGTGATCATAAAGTGTCAGATCTAATTCTACGTATTAGTAACGAAACTAAAATGAAGCAAACCTATAGAAGGGGAAGTGAAAACATGTTTGTATCTGACAGATAAGTTATATTGTTTTAATGCATCCGTCCTGTATTAGTTCCACCTTGTGCATTTGGCACTGAGGTCCAAATGAAAATCCAAGCCAACAATGTTATTTCGAAGATTTTTAAACAATCTATTTACAGGAATTTACAAAAACTGCTTGAAATTATGAGTCAGTTAACAGCGGTCATCAGCGTCTTACAGGACGTGCTCTAAGTAGCTTGTTCTGTGTGAATGTAAGGTCTCTTGAGGTCTCCAGGCCAGCAGGGGGCACCGATTAGGGCCCCCTGCTGTCTGTTCCTTTAAATGTGAGCACAGTGTTCTTATTTCACATGATAATCACAGATTCACTTTCACAGTTTTTTTCTCCAAGTATCTTAACTATGAATTTTTCGAATTAAAGAAAATTAAACAAACCTTTATTGATTCCTTGTTTTGTCTCTTGAGAGCGTCGGGCGGAGTCGCATGAAATCCCACAATGACAGTTTGGACTTTCAGAAGCAAATTCAGTTTTGAGAATCTAATCGGTATTTTCAGAAGAAAAAAAATATTTTTTTTCCCCCTGAAGTCAGCATTTTTTATTTTTATTTTTTAGCAAAGTGAAGAATTAGCTGGTCAGTAGAGTGAGCAGGAGAACCAATGCCCTCTGAAAATAGAAAAAGTCAAATGTAAAAGATCGTTTACAGTGAAGAACCAAAGAATAAATATTTTTTTTTGCAATAGCAAAAATAAATAAACCTCTAATTTAATTGCATTTATTAGGAGTGGAGAAAAAGCACCGCATTGAGATATCAATTACACTGCACAATTACAAGCACAACAAACATGCACCTGAATGACTCTCTTAGGGTGTCTTTCATTTTAAGAAGACATGAGGCTCAAACTTTTGGCTTCACGTCGAAGGGTTAGGGTTAGTGTAGGGTTAGGGTTAGTGTAGGGTTAGGGTTTGGGGTTAGGCTTATTTCTCACACACAGAGTAGGAAAGACGGGAGAACATATCTTTCCAGAAATGCCACATTCTGAACCTCAAATTTGGAATAGCTCCTCGACTTTACCAGATCGAAAGTTTGAGGAACAATTAAAACATTTGAATAACTTTATTTCTGAGAAAAGTTTATCAAGGCAGCACCCACAGTGGGGAGGATTTTAATTTGGAAAGGAACATTTCCAAAGCCTAAGGGTATTTACATCAAGGAAAAGACAATCCAATGCATTTGAAATGATCTAGAGCTCTTTCTCCTAAAGTATATTTACTAAGCTTCCTAAAGAATAACTCTCTGCATTATGTCTTCCATTATTTCCTGTCGTCTACCATCGCTGTATTCCTTCTCCCGGGCCGGGGTTCCACATTTATCTGACATACTGTGACTGTCTTTGCTTCGGGCTGAAATGGAACAATTAGGGGCTGACGGTTGTTTTCTCATGGCAGGAATGAACACAGTGCAGTTTCAGATGCCTCGGGCTAAAAGGTTAATGGAAAGAAATTCCTGTGAGCACAGCGATTTTGAGCTAGAGAGGCCGGCCATGTCTTCAGCCCCATCATCTGAAGCCTGTCTATGCTGTTTCAAGGCATTTCTCTGCCTCCTTTCTAAATTCTCCCTCTTCTTCAGCCTCCAGAGGAGCTGCGCTACCCTAAGTTCAGAGGAGCGATGAAACTTTCCTACGTCAATGACATTCCCGTCAACCTCTTCAACTACAGGAGTGCTGTCAACATGCAGACAAAGCAGAGCACTGCTAAGTAAGGCTGGTTTAAAAATAGCCGAGGCTGTCTGAAGAAAAGGAGGATAAAACCTAAGAAAATGATTAAGGTGTTATTTTTATCTGTTCAGGGTCCTTCAGACAGAGTCGTGTGATTATTATGACGGGACAGGCTACCGCATGGCCTTCTTAAAGGAGCCGCAGAAGAAGAAACGGTGGCTGTTCAGATTCAACACCAGGAGCCGAGAGACAAACGCCCTTCTGTTCTACATCGGAAATGAAGTATGTGTTTGTTACCAATATAAACTGAAGACAAATATCAATTAGTTGGAGCTGTATAGTACCTTGTAAAAGTTTTCATACTAATTTTGCACAGATTGTCATATTTATACCACACACTTAACTCTCTCTGGATTGCGTTTGCATGTTGGATTAAATGGTTGCATGAACTAGTGGGGGTGTGAATGGATGTTGTTAAAATTTGAAAAATGCAGCACGGTTGTTTTGTCTGGTGTGTGTCTGTATTGGCTTGTCATGGACTGGTGACAATTTTGCCCAATGACTGCTGGAGATCATGGATAGATGGACAATTGTGGAGTGGCATAGCTAAAGAAATAGCTACATATATAATTGTACTGTATATGCTTTTTTTGGAGGGGGGTTGCATTTATGTCTTGATTGAAGATGATTCTATACCTTTGTGTGAATATTTTCTGGGAGGCCAATGGGGTGGCCAGCATTTCCTATGCTGGGCCCATGGCCCCTCTGACCCTTCCTTTGGGGTCGCCACTGGATGGATGGATGGACCATCTCTCTTCCACCTCATGTTAACGTGTCACATTGTATTGGTCTTTTACATGAAATCCTTCTAAAATACATTAAAGTTTGTGGTTTAAAGATGAAAAATGTGAAAAAGTCCAAGGGAAATGAATACTTCTGCAAATTACACATCTGATGTTTTTTGTATTTTATTACCAGGAGTCCTTTTTCTGCGTCTGTGTAGAAAGAGGCTTCCTGGTGGTTGAAGGTCAGCAAGGCGGCCGGCAGCTCAGAAACCAGAGTTCAGCTCCAGTTTCTCTGTTTGTAAGATTTTCTCAGATGCGGATTCGAAACGCAACAACGTCGCATGGTGTGTCCCTCATTTTGTATTCCTCGTCTGTCTTAGGAGAAGAAGTTTGCGGTGGTGATTGGCGACAGATTTGTCGTGCGCTACGGATCAGAGCAGATCCACACTGATCATCTTCAGACTAACTACATGTGGTGGTACATGGGAGGCCTGCCAGCCTGGCTCAGACGGAGGTAAGACGGCAGATATCCGCTGCATTCACAGCATCGCCTCATTAAAGTGGCTTCCTCAGATGGCTTTGCTCCTCTTATCATCAGACACAACATCACAGCAGCCCCACTGAGAGGATGTGTGGATGATGTGACGGCAGATGCAGAGTTCGTCGAGTACAACAAGACAGTCGGTGTCGGTGGTGGATGCCCGCTTTCCTTACTGGTAAACCAGACGTGCTTGAACAGCGATCGGTGTGGTCAACAGCATTTCATTGTGTAGTAATTCCACGAGCAATACAGATTTTCTAAAATAAATTGATAAGGTTGATAGTTTCCTGCTGGGTGCATTAGTGCAGCCAAAAGCTGGAACTTAAGTTGCTGTCACTGTGTTTGTCTTGCGTTTCTAAAAACCTGTTTTGCACGAAACAGTGAAGTGTAACATGTATTTTCCAAAGTTCAGTGCAACAACATGAGCGACATTACCATGATTTTATCTGAGGCGTCATGGCTGAACTGGGGATCAGATTGCCAAAATTCCCGATTTGTACACTGGTGATACTGGAGCAGTATTTACATCACCTATGGCATTTTCATCAACGCAAGGCAGACATATGACAACATGAGGGGGCTGTTCAGTTTTTTTTTTCCTACACGTCTTGCTTTAAATCAAGCAACAACAAAAAAAAAGCCCCTCAGTAATCTGATAAATTATTATTGTTTTAAAAGTTAGCTTGATAGACACAATTCAACTCAATTCAAATAAGTTTGGGGATTTTTTTGTATTCCTCCTAACATCAGCTTGTGTCTGGCTTGTGCAGGGCGTTCGCGCGGCCGCCATGCATTCGACTCTTCCCGCTGATTCCTTGTTTGTCTGCAGCGGACAGTCCAGAGTGTCTCTGGGGTTCAGCAGCACATCCAGGCACGCTGTCCTGCTTAATTGCGGCTCACAGGTAAATACCCCGCTGGGCCGCTCAGCTTTTCAGCCGCGATAAACAAAAAATCAGGGTGTTTGTAATATTCTCTCCGCAGAGCTTCACCTCCGGTCATGACCTCCAGCTCTCCCTCGCTGATGGCTTTACAATATTCAGGGGGTATAATTATACCTTAACATCTGGAAAAAGGTACAATGATGGAGCCTGGCATTACCTGTCTGCAGAGTGGAGGCCAACCGGGTAGGCGATGTCATCCTCTTATTATCTTAGTCTTAATGCAAATGAAATGTTACTTTTACGCTGTATTTATTTGTTTTTTCTTAGGCTGGGTCTCACCATTGATAATGTGAATGTGATTCAGAAACAAGCACCTCCTGTCACACGGCAAGATGAGCAATTTAAAGTCTGCATTGCTAACCTTTATACAAGAAGGTTGGAAAATGCCATAAAGTTTCTTATTCTACATGCTATATGCAAAAGTCTTGTAATGGTATTTAAAGGTTGTCTGATATTTTGCAGGGATGACTCTAAATTTATCCCCGCTGATCTCAGTTCACTGTCGCACGCAGGAGACGTTGTCCCTGGTTGGTGCAGTTTGAAGGTGTGTTTCGGTTGTTTCAACTCCAGTGAATAAAGCCAAACCAGAAATTAAAACAAACAAAAAAAAATCATCTGCCCCAGACAATAACCTGTTAGGGAGGTTGCACTTTTTTTTAAGATTACCCTGATTACATGTGTGAGGGTGGTGAACTGTGTGCACACAGGTGTGATTGACAGCACTAAGACCCTCCTCCTGGCTCTGATTGGTTGTTTCTAGTATTAGCACATGGGAGCACTTCGAGAAGGAAAAGAAGCTTGATTTGTTTTTCACAGATTATCAGTCTCATACTATACTGTCACAAGATAGAGACAGTTTCAATAAATATGTAAACAAGTATTTTTTAATTAAACTTACATAATGCACCTTTAATAGAGTGGTATTATTTATTTCCAGGCACAGTGTCATTTTATAGCACAATCAAGTATGTTACCTTAATTTGCTATAAAGAAGCTTAACATATCAAGCATGACATAAAATAAATAAATGTATTTATTGTGTGATGTAATACCCTAAAATTGGGATTCTGTCTCTTTAATAAGCTTTAATGAGACTCCGCCTTCAGCATGTAATTTCAGTCAGTGCTACTTCATGATTCTGTTTACTGGTTTAGGAGAGTTGGATTGAGAAGTAGTTCTTACAATGAGCTCAGTCGATGTGCAGCTCCACCAGGTGTTTGGTGATTGCTGCTGTCGCTAGTCTGGAGGAGCTGAGTGGTTGAGTTGTTGCTACGTAGTGAGGAAGCTCAGACGGAGGCTGCAGCTTTGTGGGAGCAAGCGTTTAGGCGCCCCTGAATGATTGCCATAGGGAATTTAAGAATTTCTCAAACATGGATGAGCAAATCACAGGAACACTTTAGTTATGTTTTTAATGAGGGAATGACATTAGAATGTGACATAAAACTAACAAATGCGTGATTTCACTTCATGTCTCCTTTCCATAAATGATACAGGTCGAGTGGAGACACTCCAGTCACATGTTTGGATTTTAGAGCTAATTGAGACACACTTCAGCTTCCTTTCTCTGCATCTCTGGATACTTTAATTTCAGCCATTTTATTACATCTTTTGCTTGTCTTCTGTGTTAGTTTCAGAGTTTGGCTGGCGCCGGCTGCAGACATCAACAAGCCCAGTATGAACACCAGTTCTCTGAAGCAAGCTGGCTCAGCTACACATTCCCTGAAGAAGAACTTAACTACAGGTATAACACAATGCATCATTTTGTCCGTACCCTGATTCTTGCAACCACAAAGACGCGAAGGGATCCCCCTAACGGTTCGTCTTTGTGCGTCTCAGGCCTCACTTTTCTCTTCACATCAAGACTAAATCATCCAAAGGGCTGATCCTTCATGTAGCAGGAAGTGGGGTCGTCCCCCGCCTGGCTCTCTACATGGCTAACGGAAAGATCAGGATGTCGCTCGGACAAAACAAAGTCATCTACCACAAGAAGAAGAGCAACGACGGGGGCTGGCACATGGTAACGATGAGAGGCTGAAGCCTGACTGGACAGTGCACTGGCACAACTATAGCTAACTGTATTTAACTAGCACTGTCACTTCAAGCGAAATGACTCGACTCACATAAATAGAAAAAAAAACACATTGTGACCTGATCTAAAGAAATTTTAGGAACAGATGGGGAACAAGGAAAGTTAGGAAGCTGTTCTACTACTACTATGAAATTACTCCAAAAGTGAAACAACAGCTCATCAAGGAAAACACACACAGAGTAAAACAAAAGTAAAACAACCTGATCTTGATGAACCCCTGAGCCTCTGGGGAGGCATTCTGCTCACCGATGAGACAAAAGTTTAATGTTACATCTTCTAGTAAAACTACTTCTAGTAAAATAAGCAACACACTACAACATGATGGTGGCGATTCTCCTTTTCACCTGAAAATTCTGACGGGAATTGTTTTTGTGTGAATTGTTTTTGGTTTATTTTGGACTGTCCTAGTCAAAGTCCATGCAAAAAATGTGACCTTATTCAGACCGCTGCTGCTGTGCGCGCAGGTTGAGTTCAGCGTGGAGAACAGCACTTTTCACCTGCTGGTTGACGGAGTGCGCGCCCCCGACGGTCAGCTGCCCGGCAACGAGGGATCGTCTTTACGGCTGCGTAAAGACGTAAAGACGTGTACCTGGGAGGGTATCCGAAAAAGACGTCAACGAAAGTTCGTATCAAACTTGAGCAAAGCTACCTTTCTCTATTGATTTGTACTTTTCTACTGACCACTGTAACAGGGAAAAAAAACAACATGCTTTTATAAGAGGTCAAATGTTTCAGAGAGCATACAAAAAGATGACCTCGGCCTTTTCTTTTCTTTTTTCTCTTCAGGGACACGACATTCCTGCAGGCAGCGTCATCGGCTGTCTACGGGATTTCAAAATGAATAACGTTGCTGCTCCCGCACCTGATTCCAGCCGCGAAATCCTGCCCTGCTTGGGCGGGCTCACAGAAACGGGGACCTTCTTTGGCGGAGGCCACGTCCTCCCAGGTTTGTCCTTGTACTTTGCTGGTCCCGTTGTGCCGCTTTGTTTCCACAGCAACTCATTCTCGCACACATCTTTTTTTTTTTTTTGCTCCAGACAACTTCTTCACTGATGGCTCTCAGTTTGTGCTGTCCTTTGAGATGCGCCCTCAGCATCTCACAGGTCTCCTCTTCCATTTTCGAAGCGACGCCACAAGCAGCCTTGATGTGTACTTAATGGAAAACAGGGTAATAATTGCTTGCTCTCTTTGGCTAATTTGCGTAATGAAATTGCTCATAAAGAAAGAGTGCTACAAGATGATGAACGCGTAATGTCGAACCAGGTGGGTGTCTGGCTGGCTGATGCCACTGGTCCCGTCAGCATGACGGTGACGCCTGCTGAAAGCCTCTGTGACGGAAAGTTTCATGCGGTCACAGGTAGGCCTGCCGTTGTGCTACATTAAAGTTCTCACACAAACTGGCCAGATTTTGTTCATTCCTCTGTCGTTTTCTCTCAGTGTCCAAACAGCGGTCTGCCATCGCACTATTGGTGGACTCCGAGTCCCAACAGAAAACGTACTCTTCCAGGTCCGGCACGTTCCCGACGCTCTACATCGGAGGTGCGTCTCTCAAAAGCAAAATGAGCTTTTGGCTAAATCACCTTTACTAAAGGTATTTTTCTCCTCTTGCGCCAGGCACAACACATCAACACGGAGCCCCGGTGTCGTCCCCGTTTGTGGGCTGCTTGCGGCGCCTGAAAATCAATGGGAAGCCTCTCAGACTCGAGACTGGATCAGAGGTGGTCGGGGTTGTGAACATGAACAGATGCCCAGCAGGCTGATGGCATCTGGACACACAGTAACTGCATTCAGTCATATTTTCAAATGTATTGGTATTTTTTGATACTCTCGCCGTATCAATAAATAAATTCAGTAAAAGTAGCAATCTGGACAATACAGCTGGTTTTAAAGGAAGCCATGGGGCTTAAGCCTTAATAGCCAGAATTAATCATGACAACAATAAATCAAAATTATCATAATAAACAATAAATGATACAATAAACCCCTGTGACCAGCATTGTTTTCTGCCAGTAAGTATCCTTCGGAACCAGAAACTATAAAATTGACCAACATTTACATGTCAGTTCTATAGTCCATAAATGTCAACGGCTTAGTTCATTTAAGTTTTTTAAGTGCTTCACAGCTGCTTATAATCATATAAAAGCTGTTGGTTTTCTACCATGTTTGGATGTTTTCATGTGTTCACGCACCGAGGAAAATCAAAAAACATGTACAGTAAAGGGCTAAAGTCCTATTCTGCACTAGACGAACTGGTACAGTTAGAGCCTTGTGTTTTGTCTCGGCTCCTCTGCAGACGACGCTCCAACTCTCCGTCTGTCCGTCTGTCCTCCCACCACACTCAGAAACAAAACTATTACCCTCTTAAGCTCCTCCTGCTTTATGCAGACACTGACTGTAGCAGAAGACTTATGCAAAACAAGCAATGAAGAGTCAAAACTGCACCAAGAGAGAAACACGCTTAAAAGCCACCCAACCGCAGCCTATTAGGAAAACGAATTCAACGTTTATTAAATTCAGTCCCCTGTTAATATATTCCAAACAAATTTTAGAGCTTTAACACGGCCTGGTGAAGATCTCTGAGCTGCTGTAGGAGGTAAAAGTGTCTCTTGCCTTCTGTTGGTAAAACTTGAATAAACTTTCTTCCTATTTTGAACTCCAGCCATTCAAGCGGTTCTGTTCTGTTCTGTGTTCTGAATGCATAACATCCACAAACTCGCATGCAGAGCTCTGGTTTGCAGCCGATTGACAGAAAGCGATCGGCTCGTCTCGTTTCAGCCTGCTGCTCTACATTTGGCCATCAGATGGAGTGCTTCACTTTCCGGACCGCGGCCAGTTCGCCTCCGTCTGATGTCAACATGAGAGCAGGAGGCTCAATGAATTGTGGGTCCATAATGACAATAACACCAGATTTAGACTTAAAGGCTCATCTGGAGGCCCAGCTGTTCTGCTCTCTGTCAGACAGCTTAGAAATGCAACATGGGAAAGATGGATGAAATTTAGTAGTCGTGTGTCTTTATTAATAAAGGTAGATTAATTTAAAGGAGTGGTAAAATGCAGTATGTATGAAATCAGTGAATGGCTGGCAGATTAAATAAATAGGAAGTACAACTTTCAAGTGAGTGTCTCTATGAGATAGCTCAATCTAAGCCTGTCACAATAAGCAGTAAATAAATTCATCAAATTAAAAGAAGCCCAATAATGTTCATTTTCTTGATTTATCGTTTTTCTCTCTGTCACCAAGAACTGATAAAAGTCGTCAGTCTGGCACTTTGGCCTCAACTGTCCCTTTAAAGATATTTAAAATTAAAGATCTTTTTGTTTACAGAGACTTTGTAATTCATTTTGTTTTTGTGATTTTCTGTGAACGCCTCCAACCAAGAAGACACAGCCAAAGAGGTCAAAGTCCTGCAAGACTTTGACCTCCAGAGGCTGGAGGCTGCTACAGCCTCTGGACTCTTCCCTGACAGACACAAGCAAACCTTCTTGCCACAGCTCGCGTTGTTGTGCCATCCTGGATGAGGTGCACTAGCTGAGCCACTTGTGTGGGTTGCAGAGTCCGTCTCATGATACCACGAGTGTGAAAGCACCACCAATATTCAAAAGTGACCAAAACATCAGACAGAAAGCATAGAAAATGAGATCCTCACCTGCAGAACCACTTCTTTATTGAGTCTTACTAATTGACAATAATTCCCTGTTGTCTATGCCATTTGCACCACAGCATGTGAAATTGATTGTCAATCAATATTGCTTCCTAAGTGGACAGTTTGATTTCACGGAAGTTTGATTTAAGTGGAGTTATACTGTGTTGTTTACATGGTCCCTTTATTTGTTTGAGCAGTATTTTATATAGCCATCTATCCATTAATATAGCTTCGTATATATATAGCTAGTTTCGCTCCAGAAAGTCACGCAAACTCAGCAGATCCCTGCGCTGATGCAAATTTGTGAGTTTATTGCAAATAAACTCCCAAAATTGGTCAAAACATCCCAGTTTTATGTGGATGTTAACCCCCACCTGCAGGTGGCGGTGTTTCTTACTTCGGAGGCATTTTTGCCTCAGCCTTGCTTGATGTCAAGTTATTCACAGCAACAGTGAAAACACACAGGAATGGACTGAAATGTTTTATTTGGATAAGAAATGCACCATTTCAAAGCTCAATATGAAAGCAGGGAGGAAAAAACAAAACAAAACTTGAAAAGGTGAAATTAAATTCTTATGAGGACTCAGATCCTAGTTTTTCTCCACTTTGTACAAATGATTTCCAGCAAAAAAATAAAATAAAAAAATTGCTCAGTTTGTACAACGTTCAACATTTTTTCAAAAAATTTACAGCAGAAATCTGATCCAATGTCGGCTCTTTGCTTCAATAAAAACAGAGCACAAAGACGGGATGATTTTTTTTTCTGTTTTTTTAAATTCGGCTATGCTTACGCTTGCAGCGGGAGTTAATGAGGGTAAATACACAGCGCCAAATGTGAGAAGGGTTTAAAAGAATCCTGTAACTGTACAAGGCAAAACAGACAAAGGTCCAGAGTGATGGAGAATATAACCGAGGTCTATGATGGCCGGCAGTGTGGAGAGTATATACACAGATTTACAACTATGAACATTTAAAAGAAGATAAATGATTTTAAAAAAAGCCTATAGACTCCCAGGCCACTGTGCTAAAAGTCTAGGGAAAAAAAAGTATTTCAGTGACAATACAAATAATGCATCTCTAAGCATCATCAAACTACATTTAATTAATATTTTTTTTCCCTCCCATAATAACTTCGAGTAAGGCCACAATGTTCAGGTGCAAACTTCCCAGAGTGCCTGTAATTAATGTAGCTATTAATTAAAAAATAAATAAATAAATAAAAGAAACAGAAGAGAATTAAACGGTTATTGGTGATATTTGACGAACAGGTGCAATTTCTTGATTTTTAAAATTTTTTATTTTTCTTTCATCCGTGCACAAAATGGATTAATATATGTCCGGCAGCTGGCTGTAGCTCCTGTCCCAGTATCCGCCGGAGAACAGCCAGTCCTGGGAGCGGGTGTGGGGGTTCGGCCCCTGCTGAAACCACCTGAGGAGAGAGAGAGAGAAAAACAGAGAGAGTGAGTGAAGACGTTGAAGAAGCGCAGCGGGAGACGACCGAAAAGCGGACATGCTCTATCTTCAGGGCACGGATCATTATTTAGAAGTGAGGAGATCAGGCTGTTTACTTTGAGCTAACATTAACTCTAGTTGGGGGTTTTTTTTCTTCTTTTTTTTTTGTAAATAAGGGAGTTTGACTAACTGCTTCTAGTGGCAGTGAGTGAAGCTTTAGTGAAGGGAAGAAGAGGAGGGGATTAAACATCTTCGCACTGCGAGCTTCTCTGTCGTTCAGATAACATTCACTGAGAAATTAGGATTTTTTTTTGGGTGGGGGGAAAACACAGAGGGTCACGTGAGCACACAGAACGCGTCAGTCAGACGGCGAGCCGCTCTAACCTCGGGCCGAGGGGAGGGGTCCTTGGCATCAAAGCCGCGATGCAGCCGACCAAATGTGAAAAACGGAGATAAAAAAAACAACAACAAAAAAAAAACAGAGTTAATCTGGAGCAATTCAGAGCAAGACGACACAAAGACGTTTCCGGCTGAGGGGGGAGAAAAAAAAAATGATGATGATGTGCGTGACAGATATAAATGGAGAGAACATTCCTGACCTGGTCTTCCACTCCTCGTCAGATTTAGTGCGGTTTTTACGGGCGGCTCTCTGCTTCTCCTCCAGCCTCTTCTTTTCCTCGCTCGCCAGGTCTGTTTGAGACGTGGAAAGTTGTGACGAGGAGGATTCAGCTGAAAGTTTTTCGTTTTGAAAAAAAAAAAAAAAGGCAAAACAAGAAGGCGTTACCGATGTCGCCGTTCTCCATGGCCCTTATGTCGGGTCTGAGCCGGCAGTCGGTCTGCGGGA